CAGCAAGATCCTCTCGTTAAATGACATCTAAAACAGAACCCATAGTAGTAGAAGAGCTACTCCTTCAGGGCTACTCCCACTGAAGCAGAGGAGAGGGGCTACTCAGCCACCCTTTTGCCCACCCACAGCAATCACTGAGGCGCCTTCTGAAATGATAGAATGCAAGAAGATAACTTCTCTGTTAGTGTAGAACATAGCTAAGAACCTGATAGAAAGAAAGAAAAGGTCATGATGTAACTGGAATAACTCTCACGAACGCTGGGGTTTTCACTCACTGCCTCTGACTCTTTATTTAAGTACAGTTTTTAAATGCTTGGTTTCCTGATTCTTCAACCCAAGATATATTTGAAACAGAAAATTAGAATAGGAGAAGGGAGAGAGGATAACTAGAATCAAGTGCACGGAGAGCTGCGAAGACATTTGCCACCAGACTACAAAGGTAGTGAGGAGAGTAAGAAACACTAAGAGAGAAAAAAAAAAAAAAAGACACAAAAGCTCTAAATGTACTCTAGTCTGGGAGTAATTTAGGATAATGGCAGTAGTCCCAATCCCATTACCAGATTTCAGCTGGTATTAGTAATTTATTTTAGTAGCATAGACTCTATATGTATTTATCTAGAAAACTCACTTACAGGGAGCAGCTTTCACTGATGGAACCAGATAAAACAATGGCACTGTACTTCTCATTTTTCCTTTTCTGTGTATGAAATTTTAAACTCTGTGTGTTGTATATCCATATATTATACATGTAAAATAAGGATAAGTCTCAGGCCTGAATAAACCTCAGATCTATCAGAAGTATAAGTTTCTGGATTTGAATTTCTCACATTAGCCCTCATTTACCAGGTTGGCGGATATTTTTAACCACAGACCTTCCTGAGGTTTCTCAGCCTGGAGCTGTGCCACAGTTCTGAGGTATTACACGGTACCAAAGCGTTAGGGTTTGGAGTTACTGCTGAGACATCAGCCATCTTTGGCTAGAAGATTCCCTTCAGATCCAGAGATCTTTGCTGCTTCTGTGCCATGTGTCAAGCCCCAGAACCCTTTGGTGAAGATACCTATGGCCCGTCTGACTAGATGCACACACAGCTGTTTTCTTTTGAGGTTTTAGCTGCCTCCCTAGGGTGTTGCCAGACAGCAGGGTCCCTTTGCTCCTGTCACCCACAGACTTCTTTCTTTTTACTGACACTAAGAGGTCTTCTGCTCAGCAGAAATCTCCTGCTGCCATGTTCCTTTATGCTCCCCTATCTCTGCCTTCAATTCTCCTTCCTTGTATTGTCTTCTTCCCTTTCAGGTAGGAGTGGGCTCCCTACTCAGTACTTCAGGGCAGAGAAGAGAAGTGACCTCAAAATCTTCATGGCTTTTATGGCACTGTGTGTATTGTAGCCTTAAATTCAGGGTCCACAGTCATTTGGCCTAGTTGACCTTTGTTAAGGTTTTAGAGAGAAAGAGATGTCCAACAGAAAGAGCCCACTTGGGTAGTGTTTCTATCTAGGCCTTCCCATGGGAATCAGTTACATATCAGTATTGCACCTGTTTCTACTATGGCATTCTTCATAGCCTGAGATATTGCTTGTTAATATTCTTGTTTTCGTATCTACATATTTGGTTTTTCTAAGCAGATCACAAATTCTTTGAAGCTAAGATAAGCTTTTCCTGCCTGTTGAATATGCATCATTGTTACAGTAAATCCTTGTTAGTTCTTAGTATGTATACTAAAGAAGGGCATAAAATACGTGGAAATAGTTGAGGTTTTTTTAAAGTTGTATTCATGGCTGCCATGTTTTTTTGGTTTTGTTTTGTTTTTTGTTTTTTTGGAGACAGAGTCTCGCTCTTGTCGCCCAGGCTAGAGTGCAATGGTGCGATCTCGGCTCACTGCAACCTCCACCTCCCGGGTTCAAGGGATTCTCCTGCCTCAGTCTCCCAAGTAGCTGGGATTACGGCACCTGCCACCACACCTGGCTAATTTTTGTGTTTTTAGTATAGACGGGATTTCACCATGTTGACCAGTCTGGCCTCGAACTCCTGACCTCCAGTGATCCGCCCGCCTTGGCCTCCCAAACTGCTGGGATTACAGGCGTGAGTCATGGCGCCTCACCGCACCATGATTTTTTAAAAAGATTTTTGCTGAAATATACTCACACAAAACACCCAAATTACAAGTGTACTTAGTCAATGAACTTTCACAATGTGGGCATATCCATATAACTAGCACACAGATCCAAAAATAGTATTACCAGCACGTGCAAAGCCCATCATGCTCCATCTCAGTCACTGCCACCCAATAATAACCGCTACCCTGCCTAATAACACCATAGTACATAGATTTTAAATTATAGTAACAATTTTCCATGTTTAAAATACGAAGTTTGGTTCTGATTTTATTTTATGTTCAGGGCCCTTGGGCTTGTCTAATTTGCATCATGGCTTTGATTATCCTTAGACTCATCTGCTACATGGTTTTGTTCCCCTCAAAAAAATACTCATGAGAACGAAGATTCTTAATAGTGTTTGGCATTTAATTAAGACCATTTTACCTGATAATATCCAACATTATCCTATGTTTTGTGAAATCTCAAATCTTCAATATTTGAACTACATTGTAATAAAACATTAGGTTTTATTACCAGTTCTCTATCTGCTCTCCATCCTCACTCTCTCAATCCATTCTTGGCCTTGCTGACCCTACAGACTGCGTCTGTGGGGCTCTCTTGCTGACTAGCTTCTGGTTGGATCTGGGCAATGGGAAGCATTGCCAGTAATTGGGAGGACAGAGGAAAGAAAAGCTGGCATTTCTTCCCTGCTGTCTGCCTCGGCACAGTAACTATATCTCTCTGTAATACAGCTTCTGCTGGACAGCCCCTTGTCCATGGTCCTAGTGCCTACTAGACATTCCTCCTTCCCTTGTTACTTTGGCCCTCAGGACTATAACAGTATCCTCCTGTCAGTGGTCTCTGGGTGCCTCATTATTCCCTTGTTTGCTCCCTTCATCCTGCCCACAACTCTACATGGAGTCTTTTCATGAAAGCTTCATACAGTGAATTCTTCCTGTGCAGACCCTACCCTGACGATGCAATTCTGAATTTTATGAGAGCTTTAATAAAAGCTTTGACAGGAATGTAAATTAAGTTTAGACTAAGAAAATTAGAAACGGACAACAACAAAATCATAATTATGAGTTAATAGACATTTATACTTCCCTTAAATCTAAGAATAAATCTTATTTTTATTTAAGAAATGGACTTGTAGAGTCTTCTGGTAAAAGAGACAAACTAAATAGAGACATTACCCTCCCATTTCCCAAGCCCTTCTGAAGTTAAAGTATAGAAATTAAAAAAGAATAAACCCACGGAAGCCAATGGAATGGTAAAGAAAATCAGTGTACAAGAAATCTTAACACATTTAAGGTAGAAAGTGACTGCATGTCTTTTGCAGGACTGTGGATGGAGCTGGAGGCCATTATCCTTAGCAAACTAATGCAGGAACAGAAAAGCAAATACCACATATTCTCACTTATAAGTGGGAGCTAAATGGTGAGAACCTACGAACACAAACAAGGAGACAACAGACACTGTGGTCTATTTGAGGGTGGAGGGTGGGAAGAGAGAGAGGAGCAGAAAAGATAACTATTGGGTACTGGGCTTAATACCTGTACCTGTGGTGAAATAATCTATACCACAAAGCCCTGTGACATGAGTTTACCTATGTAACAGACCTTCACATTTACTCCCAAACCTAAAATAAAAGTTTAAAAAAGATTCTGTGATCTTAAAATTGTAAATAAGTAGTTCAATAATAAGTGGATTTATATGGACTAAAAAAAAAGAAAAAAAAAAAAAGTGACCAGAAGTAGGCTAAGAAAACCACAACTCAGAATCAGGAGCCATCTGTGGGCTCCAGTGGAGAAGTGAGCTCCTGTTCTCATCAAGGCCCAGAGCAGCTGTAAATTCAGGGCTGACTGACCCAATGAGAGATACTGGAAATGGGGATTCACTGAAGGTCAATCACTAGTTGACTCCTTTCCTGGTTCACAAATGTAAAGTGCAGCCTGACATTTATTCACAAGCATAACTAACAAGACAATAAAGCATGGTAAGGCTTCTAATGTGACAGCCACAGTTTAAAGTTCTCCTTATTTCTCTTTGTTCTGGCAGTTGGGGATCCAGGGAGGTCTCACCAGTTTACGCTAAAATAATGCCTGTCAGTCAACACACCCACCCTAAATGCACAGAACCCCGAGGCACATTTGATACTCAAGAAAGATACCTGTTGAAAAATAGACCTACTTATATTTCCACAAAGGAAAATTATATCAACTACCTTGTCCTTCTTAAACATGAATGGACAACCAGGTATATGAGGAAAATGATCATCATTAAAGAAAAATAAAGGTTAAAAAAAAAACATACACAGAAAAAGCAGCCCAGAAAAGAAACAAAACTAATTCAGGAAACAGAAGAAATGAGAATTTTTTTGGGGGGGTGGGGGGAATAAACGTGGTGTTTTATTTTCTGGATTATAAAGTGAACAAATACTTAGATACTATTATTTCTTTACCCAATGCTTTTGATTTCTAAGCACTTTTATTTTAAAAATGTGAATTATACAATTCCCCGTACACACACACACACACATACACCTATAAACACATTAAATGCTACTTTGCCATGACAGCTCAGCATACTTGACAAATCTTTTTTTTTTTTTTTTGAGTTGGAGTCTCGCTGTGTCGCCAGGTTGGAGTGCAGTGGCACAGTCTCGGCTCACTGCAACCTCCGCATCCCGGGTTCAAGCAATTCTCCTGCCTCAGCTTCCCAAGTAGCTGGGATTACAGGCATGCGCCACCACGCCCAGCTAATTTTTGTATTTTTAGTAGAGATGGGGTTTCATCATGTTGGCCAGAATAGTCTGGATCTCTTGACCTCATGATCCACCTGCCTCAGCCTCCCAGAGTGCTGGGAGTACAGGCATGAGCTACCGCGCCCAGCCTACTTCACAAATCTTTTTTTTTTTTTTTTTTTTACTTAGGAAATAAAATTTTATTGTACAAAATTCACATTTGTTGCATATGATGAAAAGCATGGCAAAGAGATCCTTAATCTTTTCCTTTGACATTTACGGTGAAGGTAATTTCCTAATACGTTCTCGGATCATACGATTTTTTTGTCTAGAATGTTTAACAGTTGTGTTGGTAGTAAGTGTTCTGGGTATAAGGTATAAAACGGAAAACAGATCAAAAAAGTGCTGGGGGAAGACCACTGCCAAAGAGTAATCTCCAAGAACTTGGTATTTTCCACCGTGAGGTAGATGCTGTGGGGTCATCGCTAAGTGGTTTGATTATCTGAAGCCACTCATTAAGGTACTCAACGAGACCTAATGCATCTGGCATGTTGTCCCCTTCTGAAATAAATTTCAGCAGAACTACCATTTGGATTTCTTTAGAACAGCTTTCATCATAGAGCGTTTTTGTGATTCCTCCCCCCGGAATGCGGATACAAAACTCGGAATCATCTATTTCTGAAATGCACCGGCTTTTTTCCATTTCTTGCCAGTTAAGGCTCTTTATTTTATTTTGAACACTTCTTTGCATGGAAGGTGTGAGTAGGTACCGGAAGGGAGTACTGTGAAGCTGCAGGTCATTGCGCTGATATGAATGGCTGCTCGAAAGAACAATGACTCTGGCATAGCCGCTGCTTTTCACCCAGGAAAGCAGTTTTTCACAGAACGGCTTTGATTTATACTTAATAAAAATGGATCTTAACTGAAGAGCCACCAGCTTTCTTGAAGGCAATGAATATACTTCAGCATTTATACTAAGTTCTGTTGAATTTCCTTCCGCAGTCGCATATGGATTGTTTCCAACCATAGGCACAAGACAATCGGTATAGAAGTAACCAATCTTAGACATACTCAGTGTAGAAATAATCAGATCCATTGCAAGCTGGCCAACATTTCCAACAGATACTGCTGGCATTAGGAGGGTGAAGCCGGCAAGGTCGGGGGCCGATTCCCCGCAGGGAACGAACATGGTCGCAGGGGGGTGGCCAGCAGGGACTAAGCGTGACACCGGAAAAGCCACAATTCTTAACACTATTCTATGTGGAATACAGAATGCCTTTTTATCTGAATTAACATGCATTTAAACAAATTTAGTATATGTGAAAATAAAGGAATTATAAATCAGTAGGAAAGATGTTTAGGTAAAGGCATCATCAGTCAGCTCAGTAGATGTTGTCTACATTTATTTTCTACCTTTATAAAACAAGAACCTGCCAGCAGTCTTAGGTAAAGGGTAAAGTAACACATTTTTGCCCTGATGCCATCAGTCACAGTGCCATGAGATAAGTGCTGTGTGTTTAGTCTCAATTTCCTGTTTGCAAAGAAATGCATTAATTCAGTTTTCTACTCATTATACAGTTAGGTTGTAGGGCTATAGATATCTCATTTGAGTTATTTGAGTTTTTTATCTTTATATCTAAAAATTTAATCTGAAAATAGTAAAAGTAGAAAACACTGATTCAAAACCTTAAATACTACTGCTCAGTGCATGTAATAAAAGTTAATGTTTATAAACATTTCAATATTTTAAAGTATATTTCTTTAACTTCAAGAATCTTGACTTTCCTTGCTACAAGCTTTTTTCCTCAAAGATTCCTTTTAGGCTTACTTTGGTGTTCAGGATCTCCAGTTATAAATGTAGAAGAGATGGGTGTGCAAGGTAAAATTAAAAAGCCAGACATAACTTTCTATCAAGCTGCATAAAGAGAAACATGAAGTACAAATGGATCACAGACCTGAGTCTGTTGTGTTGGTGAAAGGAATCAATATCTTTACATTGCTTAATTTTTTGCTCAACTCTAAGAGTTTAGTTGCTACCTCAGGTCCACAGGCAGGACTTCCTCCAACCCTCTTATCCCCTGTTGCTCTCCGAGGTGCCATAATGCAAATGCTTAAGACACAAAGTGTAAATGTGAAGATGCAGCTCTTTCTGGATACAGAGACCAGTTTAGTTTGGAGATTACAGGTCCTACCATGCCTCATTCTCTGTATTCACTGACCATGCTGCTCAGATCTTCACAGAGTGGGTCTTTCTCTGCAGTACTATATCCACACAAGCCAACTGCTGTATTTAACACCTGCCTGCCAATGGACAAAGTACTTGATACAGAGGTTGTTCATAAGGAGCTTACTAACTGTGGTTTTTACCCTAAGACTCTGGAGCAACTTAGAGAAATACCACTACTTGGGAAGTCATCTTTACGGAATGTGGTGATGAGAATGTTTTTAAAACAAATTACACATACTGATATAAATAAATGATTGGGGAGGAGAAACAAATCTGTGCAGAAGAATTGCAAACAGTTTAGTAGACACTGCAGTCTTAAAGAGGGGAGCGTGAATCACCATTCCTTAAGAGTGGGCTATGCATACTGATTTCAGGGTGTGGGGAGTAACTACAGTGGAGGAGCCTGGCAGATACTACCTCAGCCTGATGATCAAGGCCAACATCAGCAGTCATCAATCATGTTGATAGTGTGTATCTTTGACAAGATATGCTGCAAAGGGCATGTTACCTCTGTGGCATTTCTCCCAAAAATCCATAAACCCAGTCTAATCGTGAGGAAAACATCAGGTAGATTCCAGTAATAAAACATCCTACATAATACCTGACCAGTACTCATCAGAACTGTCAAGGTCATCAAAAGTAAGGAAAGTCTAAGAAACTGTCACAGCCAAAAGAAGTCTAAGGAGACATAACTAAATAGAATGTGATGCCCTGGATAGAACACTGGAACAGAAAGAAGACATCAGGTGAAAATTAAGGAAATGTGGATTAAGTATGGACTTCAATAATAATGTGTCAATATCAGTTTATTCATTTTGACAAGTGGACCATATAGTAAATGTAAGGTGTTAATTATTGGGGAATCTGGGCGCAGGGTGTATGGGAACTCTCAGTGCTGTTTTCTTAATTTTTTTAATAAACCTAAAACTATTCTTTTAAAAAAACAGTTATTTTAAAAAGTACTATATTAAGGAAGGTTATATAAAATAAGAACCATAAAACAAAAATAACCTTTATCTTATACCATATATAAAAATCAACTGAAAATGGGTTAAAGACTTAAATGTAAGACCTGAAACTGTAAAGAAAACATAGGGGTTTTCTTTGTGACACTGGTCTTGGCATTGAATTTTTTTTTTTTTATATGAACCCAAAAGCACAGGCAGTAAAAGAAAAAACAGACAAATGGAATTGCATCAAAGTAAAAAATTTCTGCACAGTCAAGGACATAATCAACAGAGTGAAAAGAAAACCTACAGAATGGTAGAAAATATTAGCAAACCATATATCTGGCAAGGTGTTAATATCCAAAATTTGTAAGGAACTCAAAACAACTCAATAGCAAGAAAATAACCTTATTTAAAAATGGGCAAAGGCAACAGGTATATGAAAAGACGCTCAGCATCACCAATCATCAGAGAAATGAAAATTAAAGCTACAAAGTGATATCATTTCACCTTCTCCCTGGTTAAAATGGCTTGTATCAAAAAGATAGGCAATAACATGCTGGTGAGGATGCAGAGAAAGAGGACCCCCCCGTACACCGCTGTTGGGAATGTAAATTAATACAGCTACTATGGAGAACAGTGTGAAGGTTCCTCAAAAAAACTAAAAATAGAACTTCCATATGATCCAGAAATGTCCAAAAGAAAGGAAATTAGTATATCTGCACTCTGTTTATTGCAGCACTATTCACAATAGCCAAAATATGGAATCACCCTAAGTGCCAATCAGTGGATGAAGAAAATATGGTGTATATATACACAATGGAATATTATTCAGTCATAAAAAAGAATGAAATCCTGTCATTTGCAGCAATATGGTTGGAACTGGAGGCCATTATGTTAAATGAAATAAAGCACAGAAAGATAAATATCACATGTTCTCATTCATATGCAGGAGCTTAAAAAGTGGATCTTGTGAAGATAGAAAGTAGATTGGTGGTTACCAGAGACCAGAAACGGGAAAGGGGAGGGAGAAGATGAACGGAAAAGAGAATATAAATGTATTTATTACCACTGAACTGTACACTTAAAATGGTAAATATGGTAAATTTTATATTTATATTTTATCTCAATACATTTTTTAAATAGCAAAGAATCTGAATAGACATTGCATAAAAGGAGACAAACGATGGCCAACAGCTATATGAAAAATGCTCAAAATCACTATTAAAGTAAATTAAAACCGCAATGAGAGATCATGTTACACCTGTTAGAATGGTTGTTATCAAAAAGACGAAAGATAACAAGTGTTGGAGAGGATATAGAGAAAAGGGAATCCTTGCACACTGATGGTGAGAATGTAAATTGGTATAGCCATTATGGAAAACAGTTTGGAGGTTCCTCAAAATATTAAAAATAGAACTACCATATGATCCTACAATCCTACTACTGGGTGTATATCCAAAGGAAATGAAATCAGTATGTTGAAGAGATATCTACACTGCCAGGTTCATTGCAGCATTATTCACAATAGTCAAGATACGGAATCAGCCTAAGTATCAGTGAATGGAGGCATAACGAAAATGTGAACTAGGTATTGAAGGAACATACCTCGAAATAATAAGAGCCATATATGACAAACATCGCACTGAATGAGCAACTACAATGGTATTGGAAGTTCTAGTCAGGGCAGTCAGGCAAGAGAAAGAAAGAAAGGGCATCAGGAAGTCAAGCTATCCCTGTTGGGAGACGACATGATCCTAGATCTCAAAAACCTGCTAGTCTCAGCCCAAAAGCTTCTTAAGCTGATAAACAACTTCAGCAAAGTCTCAGGATACAAAATCAGTGTGTAGAATCACTAGCATTCCTGTATACCAAAAACAAGCCAAGAGCCAAATCGGGAATGAGCTCCTATTCACAATTACCACAAAAAGAATAAAATGCCTAGGAATAGCTAACTAGGGAGGTGAAAGATCTCTACAAAGAGAACTACAAACCACTGCTCAAATAAATCAGAGATGATACAGACAAATGGAGAAACATTCTCTGCTCGTGGATAGCAAGAATTAATATCGTTTAAATGGCCATATTGTCCAAAGCAATTTATAGATTCAATGCTGTGCCTGTTAAACTACCATTGACATTCTTTACAGAAATAGGAAAAGAAACTACTTTAAAATTAATATGGAACCAAAAAAGAGCCCTAATAGCCAAGGCAATCCTAAGCAAAAAGAACAAAGCCGGAGGCATCATGCTACCCATCTTCAAACTGTACTACCAGGCTACACAGTATAGTACCGGTACAAAAACAGATACATAGGCCAATGGAACAGAATAGAGAACCCAGAAATAAGACTGCACACTTTGACAAACCTGACAAAAGCAACTGGGAAAGGATTCCCTATTCAATAAATGGTGCTGGGATAACTAGCCACATGCAGATTAAAACTAGATGCCTTTCTTATATCATATGTAAAAATTAACCCAAGATGGATTAAAATGTAAATGTAAAGCCCACAACTATAAAATCCCTGGAAGACAACCTAGGAAATACCTTTCAGGACGTAGGCACAGGCAGAGCTTTCCTGACGAAGACACCAAGAACAATTGTGACAGGAGCAAAAATTGACAAATGGGATCTAATTAAACTAAAGAGCTTCTGCACAGCAAAATAAACTATCAACAGAGTAAATAGACAACCTACAGAATGGGAGAAAATCTTTAGAAACTATGCATCTGACAAAGGTCTGATATCCAGCATCTATAAGGAACTTAAATACATTTACAAGAAAAAAACCACCTCATAAAAAAGTGAGCAAAATACATGAAAAAATACTTTTCAAAAGAAGACATGCATGTAGCCAACAATCATATGAAAAAAAAACTCAGCATCACTGATCTTTAGAGAAATGCAAGTCAAAATCACAATGAGATACCATCTCACACCAGTCAGAATGTCTGTTAGTAAAAAGTCAAAAAATAACAGATACTGGCAAGGTTGTGAACAAAAAGGAATGCTTATACATTGTTGGTGGGAGTGTAAGTTAGTTCAACCATT